CTGAAGATGAACACGAGCAGAGCAGCATGTGTGCAGCGAGCCGGACACTGAACAGTGACATAGAACAGTCTGTGCAGTGCTGCTTCAAGTCCAACACCTATTGTGTTTTATTAGGAGACGCACAACAGTTCTTCTGTGGCTTTATAGGTATTTTCACCTACACAATTTAGCAAAATCAGACAATATTGTGTCTAATATATACCACAATATTAACTTCTTATTATTGAATTGTTGTAAATAAATATCACATTTGCAATTGGTCAGTGTTCAAAAAATGCTGGTAAATCACTTCATGTAGCCCTACAAGAGTGATTACTGATAAACTGTCTGAAAAAAGAAAAAACTGTCTAAGTTTTTAGAGAAGAAAAAAATCACCCACTGACTTTCAAAGCTGCTAACGACTTTCTACTTTGAGGACCTTGATAGAAATGTAGTGGAGTGAAAAGTACAATATTTGTCTTTCAAATGTAGTGAAGTTAAAGTCATAAGTTCCCAGAAAAAATAATACTCAAGTAAAGTACAGATACTCAAAAAGTGTACTTAAGTACAATACTCAAGTAAATGTACTTAGTTACTGTCCGCCTCTGCTTGTAAATCACTGACAACTCTAAAAGCCTATTTCAAGTCAACATTTTCATCAAAATTCAATTTAATAGGCCCCATGAGGTAAAAATGTAAAGCCTTACAGTTGGTGAGAATTTTTTGGCACTGAATAAACCTGTCGGCTGAACTAACTGTAGCACAATATGCAGGATTTATGGATGAACTGATTAAATATAGATAATCACATTGCAGACATATGCATTTACAGTCTTGCATTTCTTACCGCCAACATTAATTTAAATCAAACTCACAGCGGCACTAAAAGCTTGCACTTACAGTTACAAATTGAATTACTTTTTATTACAGGAGTGACACGCATTGGTCGTGATGATGCCCCTGAACCTCAGGACATCACTATTGAGGGTCCCGGCATTGAAGCCGAACACTGCAGGATTGAGAACAGAGGAGGGGTCGTCACTCTTGACCCATGCAGACACCTGTGTTCACTCGATGGAGTTCCTGTTACCAGACCCACACAACTTACGCAAGGTAACCACAATAGGAATGATAGCGCTTCACTGAAAATGCATTTACCGCATGCATGTTTTTGTTTGTTTACTTTGGAAAACAGTGTCTGAGTAAATGAAAAGGGAAAGAGGTTTATGACCTGGGAATGAAGTGCATTATGTATTGGAAATGCATAATGTGTCTTTCCAGCAGGGTCTTGGTTTTGGACGTCACACTGAGTTTAATTAGAGTGGTTTTGGATCTTTTCTTAATGCGACGCTGTGACTCAGAGCTTCCAGAAGTGTTAGAGTGAGCTACCGAGCTCAGCTTTTCTTCCCCAAGGTTGTATTTTCCCATAATTCCTGCATTCTTTAGCCTCACTGAGTTCCTCAACGAACGATCCATCATTCTCTATGCTTATTTTCTTTTATATCTCAGTGAGAGCAAGTCAGATAAATATTTACCAGACTTATTCTGACACTTTTCAGTCATGAAGTGCAAATATTGGCGGGACTGAGAAATGTAGCCTCCGCTTCTGTCTTTGTTTCTGTGGGAGGGATATCTATGCTATGTGAGCAATACTAGCCTGGATACACAAGATCACTGAAGAGGCAAACTAGAAAACCTCTAGATAGGAGCTCAAAGAGATCGCTACTTAAAGCCCAAGTAAGGGGAGTAGCTGCTGAGCTAGAATACAGCTATCCTCAGATAGCTATATCCTAAGGGTCTTATGAAAGGCTTATAGACCAAGATAAACCATATACAGCTAGCCTCAGATAGCCAGGTAAGACCTTCCTTCAAAATTGCCCAGACCACAGAGAGTGGGCTATATGCTTACAACCCTAGCAGGGGAGATAACACTGTCTTAACAATATTAGCAATAATTGAGCTGGCACACAGCTATCCTCAGATAGCTAGGCTCTAGAAAAAGGGAACCATTGCAATTGCCAAGACCACCAGCAGTGGGCTGTCTACTTAAAAACCCTATAAGGGGAGACGTTCCATCTCTTGTCATGGTGTGCTGTTAAAGTTGTACACATTGTGCCCTTTTTTGGGTAAATGCTTGGGGCCTGCAGCTCTGAGAGCTAAAAAGTTGTCATTTATTAGGAAACAAAGGGTAAATGGTGTTTGGTCATTTATTAAGCTAATGCAGTATTTACTAACTCCCATTAGATCATTTGCTCGAAAAAAAACAAAGCCTTAAGCCCAATTCACACGGTATTAGTATTATCTGGGGACCTTGTGTGATTTTGAAATTACCCCCCCACATCTGAATTTTGAGTGGTGGATAGTTTATTAAGGAATAAGCGAAGCCTGTGATTTTACTCGAATTTACTGACTTATCTACATCAACGTCGTTCCATCAAACTTGTTCCGTGACTCTGCACAAATTTTTTTTTTACCTGATCAGACATGTTTAAAGAGGCCGTTTCTCAGTTTCCTATCAGATTCCTGTTTTTTGGGGGGGTTTTTTGGAGGTAACCTGTATAAATACTGTACCTAAAGCTTAATTCTCTTGCTCTATCATTATTCAAGACTTTTTTAGAACATAAACTGTAATAATAAATGTGGTTCCAGTCCAGACTCGTCATCAAGCAACACACAGAACAAGTTATGTTGTGATACTCCGAGTCACATCGGTGACCGACGAATTGGGATATCGCTTCGA